TTTGACCCACCAACTTGTGCGGCTATTAAGACAATCCCCCTTCCTCGGCTGCCGATTATGGACAGATTAGTTTGGCATTATACTCCGGAGGGTGTTTTTACTGTGAAGTCGGCCTATCATTTAGCTGTTACCCTTGATAGGAGACAGGGTCGTTGGAGGTCTGAGGTTAGCTGGATGGATAAGGCCAGTTGGATCAGGTTATGGGAAGCTAATCTTCCCCCTAAGTTGAATGTGTTTGTTTGGCAAATCCTGAATCGCTTGCTTCCTACGACGGAAGCCCTCATTGCCAAGGATGTCCCGGTCCTACCTAGGTGTCCGGTTTGCTGGGCGGAATCGGAAACTCTGGAACATTTTTCCTCTTCTGTCCGGTTGCTAGGGCGCTCTGGGATTATTCGGGGCTGGCTTCTCTGGGCGAAGGATTACCCAAACACACTTTTCCCCTGTTTCTTAAGAGATTAATGGCTCTGATTACCCAGCCATCCGTTCTCATGGCAGTTGTTGCTGTGTTATGGCGAATCTGGCGTTCTCGGAACTGGGTCTTTGAGGGCAAGCAGTTCGGGTTCCCTGCGCTGATGCGGCAGTATAATCAGCAGTATGAGGAGTGGGCTGGTCTCACTGTGGATCAGTCTCGCACCTCAGGTACTCCTACTTCTCCGCCGGAGCCGGTAGGGGCTGCTGGTAGGCTGGTGTGCATGTGGGATGGAGCTACGAGGAAGGGGTCTCATTCAGCGGGGGGATTTGTTCTCTTGACGCCATCTAGAGAGATCCTTATGGCTGGGGGTTTTCAGTTTCCGGGTATTGATGAGCCCATGGTAGTTGAAGCCTTGGTACTCCGGGAAGCGATTATGTGGTGCCAGACGCAGGGGATTTTGGAGGTGTGTTTTGAGGGCGATGCCAAGGTCGTTATTGATAAAATCAACCAGGCGGATAGTAGTGATAGTCGGATTGGGGCTATTCTTGCTGAAATTATTCGGAAAAAATCCCAAAGTACACTAGTTTTTAAAAAAAATTCCCAAAATACATAAGTTATAAAAAAAATTCCAAAAGTACACATGTTTGGGCATCACCGTGTTTGACAAAAGCGGTGAAGTTTATCACCGCGTTTGTCAAAGACGGTGAATACTTCACCGTTTAAGACCAAAACGGTGACGTATTCACCGCTTTAACCTAAAACGGTGATATATTCACCGCGTTTGTTGGAAACGGTGAATACAGAATAAAATTGGGCTATGTACAGAATAAATTCAATTTAAATCTAGCTAAGTACACAATCAAAATTAAATTGGGCTCAGTACGAAATAAACTTACTTGACACCGTAGGGGAGATTTTGCAGAAAGTTGAGTTCATCATCGTTTCTCCGGTATGGACGTGGGTCGGCAGGTGCGAACATCGGTAGATGCTCCCATACCCACAGTTGCAGGATGAACATCGCAGCACCAGCTTGCTTTGCCCCAACCTTCGAGCAAGTACACAGCTCCCGGTATACGCCCGCTAGCACGGCCGATCCCCAACTCTTCTCTCCAATTGCATCCCAGTCACCAGTGAGCAATGGCAACCATATGCCTTGAATCCACCGGTTGGACTTGTCGGGGAACAAAAATCCACCCACCAAACCGATGAGGTAGATGCGGGCGTAGCGCTCGACTTGTTCTTCCGGTGTCTCGTCATTGATTTCCACCTCTTGCTGGATGTGAGATACCAGCCACGGGACCGACACTTGCCCCGCATTCAACGGTGGATGCCCCCGTCCTTGAATTGGTGTGGTGGTCGGCATGTCGAAGCCCAAACGATCACGTATGAGCGGCCCCCAACCTCCTTCGGGTTTGGTCGTGGAACCAATGATTGCATCTCCAGAAATAGGAAGCCCGGTGAGGATCGCCACGTCTTTGAGGGTGATCGTCATTTCCCCCTCCGGAAGGTGGAATGTTTGGGTTTCGGGACGCCATCGTTCCGCCATTGCCGTAAGCAGATCGTTGTCGATCTCGATCCGCAAGAAATGGCGCAACATTCCCAAACCGGTCCTCGCTATGTAGGGCTCCAACCTTGGATGCCAAGCGGGCAAGTTATTGGTCCCTTTATGAACCACGGGAACAAGCGATTCCTAAAACAAATAGGAAAAATAACAATTTATTAGATTAAATAAAGCAAAATAAAACCTTAGAAAATAATAAAATAAAGCAAGAATACTCAAAAAATTACCGGATAGTTATCCCAAATAGCACGGGAGCGATGAGCTTCTTGATCGGTTAAGAGACTCGCATCCCTTGGGCCATAATGGATATACAATCGAGGATCGTATATCACGGCACCCATCTATAAAAAAGTAATGAAATCAGAGATTGTTTTGATAAAAAAACAAAAAATCAAATTGTTTCGATTAAAAAAATTCATAAACCAAAAACCTACACGAAGAGCCTCTTCGTCCATTTTTTGGCGTAGGCCGGACAGAGGTTCGACGATTTTAGGTTTGTAAGGGACGGGGGCTTTAGGGTCAAACTCTAGTAATTCTTTCTGATGTGGAAGATCGGACTTAGCCGCAACCACAGAGCATACTTAGAACGAGACTAGAGCGGATAAATTGAGGGAGAAAGAAGTGAATTGTTTGTGGGGTGAGTTGAAAGTGAAAGGGGAAGGGGGGAGGAGCCTGCGCTGCATTCAATTGGAGGGCTTTCACCGCGTTAGTCAAACGCGGTGAACTCACCGCTGTCAACAAACGCGGTGTATATCTAGGGGACGTGGCGTGTTGTGAGGCGTCGGATCGTGGGAAGAAAACCACGATCCGCGCCTCACCGCATCCAACGGCCACGGTGATAGCAAATTGGCCCGGATTGCTGACGTAAACAAACACGGGGTATTCACCGTGTTTGTCTAACGCGGTGAATACCCCGCGTTTGTCCACGTCAGCTCCTTCACCGCGTTTAATAAAAACGGTGAAGTCTTCACCGTTTCTGTTTAAAACGGTGAAGCCTTCACCCATTTTATTAAACGCGGTGAAGGCATCACCGTTTTTATTTAAAACGGTGAAATGTTCACCGTTTTTATCAAACGCGGTGATTACCTTCACTGCGTTTGTCAAAAACGGTGAATGCCAAACATGTGTACTTTGGGAATTTTTTTTATAACTTATGTATTTTGGGAATTTTTTTTAATAACGTGTGTACAGTGGGATTTTTTCCAAATTATTCACTATGTGGCGGTTTGCCCAGGGTTTAGTATTAGATTTGTAGGTCGGGGTAGCAATAGGGTAGCCCATTTAGTGGCTCGTAAGGCCCTCTCTTTGTACCCGACTGCAAGTCGTTTCTTTAATTTTCAGTCCTGGCTGCTCTCCAGGTTGTAACTATCTTTTGTTCTGATCAATGAAGATTATCTTTTGTCAAAAAAAAAAAAAAAAGACTCACTACAGACAACATTGTAGATACACCCATGCTTTTTGATATATTTGGAGCCAGCAAAAGAGCCCATATCGTCTATCCCACCCACGAAAAATGTTGAGCATGATTATTGAACCAACGCTCGCTATTGATGTTATCCAATAATGTGCATTATTATTTTGAAAGAAAATAAAGCTGACTTATTTGTACATTTATTACATAAACACAATTATTAGAACCACGACTTATATCATGTTGAAATTTAATACGACCGATGCTTCGAAATACTTGTATTATGAAAACAATAAGATCTGTAACACAACATTTGATCATATTTGTGACATGAGACATTCAACTTGCATTAAATTAAAGGCCTGAATAAACACTATATATTCAAAGTGTTTTATTTGTACAAGTTACATGGCCCCTATACATATGTGTAGATGTAAGTGCCACGTAAAACAAAGTTTAACAATTAACCTTTTTCGTGTTCCTCAGATTTTAACTAAATAAGAACACCATAATATGTTCTCTTTCGGAGTGCAAATTAGGTATGTATAGAGAGAGTAGGAGACTTCCATTGGATGGTCGGGTCACGGCACGGGTGGACCTTTCACTTGAGGGCAATAACAAAATCAAGGACACTAACCACAATGATCCTACCCATTAAATTAATGGCTTTCGTCCTCCAAGATCCTCTGCCATATAGTCATACCTACCCTTTCTTCAGTCGTGTGACTATCACGTCCTCAACTCCTCGTGGCTGGCCATGGTTCAGTAGACACAAGTTTCTTGATGAACCAGAAGAAGTAATCAAAGTGGGGAAAACAAGGAAAACCGGAAATCAAAGAAGATACGCAACTTATCTCACAAGTGAAACAACACTTTCCGGTACAAGTTCATCTCTTTCGTGGGGTGTAGTAAATGATCCAGAACAACCCTCCAACCAAAACAGACTCTTTTGTCCTGCCAAAAGTTGTCATTTGTCCCTCAATAACAGGAAACGCCCCATGTCAGTTATAGAGGAAGAGGAAAACAATCACAACCAAGAAGTTGCAAACCAAGAAAAAAGCACATTTGTAAGGATCAGGCATGAACAGCTGCAGAACAGCAAACAGACATGGCACTGCTACTTTGTCACATTCAAATTGTGACGCAAAAGGGTAGGCATAGCAACAGAGCTCATCGACACAAGAAAAATCAGACAAAGGGTTCAGTACTATCCAAGCTAGCAGAGACTTGCATAAGTGAACCAAACCAAGAAACTTTGAAAGAATGCTGAGGCCGCCCTGCCCGAAGGACTACAAATTCAACTGACCTAGATCTGCATGTTGATCATCATTACCACAAGTACAGCTGCGGCGTAGTTGATTTTGTTGTGCAGTGATCAATCTTCAAAGCTAGGCTACAAACTACCTTCTAATGTATAGCACTGAGCCCTTTTCTCAGTGAGCAAGCATTTAATAGTCTCAACAAACTTCACGTACCTGTGACTAGTTTTGTTAGCTGGTGGAAGAAATTGCTCTTGGGCACCAGCTTTTCACCAACCGCTGATTGGGTTGTCTATAAAGTAAATGCAGCAGAGAGACCAAAGTCAGCCACAGCAAACACAATTGTTCATGAAAACCATGTTTTGGTTTCTGCCAATAGTTCTGCTACTCCTCCCAGTGCTCGAGGTGCATGGGAAAGTTCCAGCACTCATTGTATTTGGAGATTCTACTGTAGACCCAGGTAACAATAACCACATCTCCACAATCTTGAAGAGCGATTTCGAGCCATATGGACGCGATTTCGCCGGTGGTAAGCCCACCGGGAGGTTTTCAAATGGCCGAATTGCAACCGACTTTATTGCTGAAGCTTTTGGGATCAAGTCGACAGTACCTGCGTACTTGGATCCCACATATGACATCAAAGATTTTGCTACTGGAGTTTCATTTGCTTCTGCAGGAACTGGTTTTGACAATGCTACATCTGATGTGCTGGTACGTGATGCTTGCTCATTTGCTTAGAAACAAACACACGCATTTTACCATACACCAAATATTTCCCACATGATTTTTTTTTTTACTGTAGAAGATAAAAACTACCATTCCAGAAAGTTAACAGAAAATAGAACAAGTAAATAATAACCTAAGATGTGCTTCTGACGGCATACTTCTGTGCCGTACAACTACTTTGTTCGCAGTCAGTTATACCTCTTTGCACTTTTATGGTGTTTTGGGAATGGGATGACTTATGGTGTAGTTCTTGTTGCGGTTCATTGATTTAAAGATATGGGGTTAGTTGCTGATGAACTAAGGCCATGAGTTTGTTAATGCTATTCCGGATGGAGGCAATTTAGTGAAGTGAATTAGTAGTATTAGTACTTTCCTTTGTAGTGTAGTTGTCTTCATTAGGCTCTTGACAACCCGTTTTTGGAATTTTCCTGTTGGTTGCTTGCTTGATTTCATTTAACTTGCCACTGTTTCACAAGCATTTCATCTCATATAGAATCTGTCTGCTATTCGATTACACTCGTCTCTGGGGCATAATTTTAGGATATGGTGCTATGTTATGAATCATGGTGATGCATACATTGGTTTGCTTATTGCAATAACTTAATGCTGAAAGTGACATCATTAGCAGCTTTTGTCAATAGTGATGATCAGATTCTCCTTATAACGTAGCTTGTAGCCATAGGTTTTCCCAAGATTAGTACATGTTGCAATTGTAAGGCTTGGTTGTAACTGGATGATCAGATTCTTCTTATAACGATTAATTATCTGCAAATGCTCCTTAACCTAGTTTGATTAACTGTTTTGATTTTCTTGGCTTCCATGTATCTTCCTTGGTTTGTCTTTCACTTCCTGTTTACGGCTTTGCTTTATCACACTGAGATTTTAGTATGATATGTACTGAAGACGTTTGGCAATGCTTTGTAGGTTCTTGGACTTGAGGTGAATGGCAGTCACAGACACCCAGAATCCTTTAGTTGCAGAAATGACCTGCAGTACTTTGCTGCAGAAGCTTCAGGTTTATGAATTAAAAAAACTGTGTTTTGAGCTCTTATGTTTGGTAATTTCATTTGACTTCATATGCTGTGTACCGTAGCTTAACCCTGCAAGCTTTGATGTGCTGTAGGAAATTTGGGATGAAGTTGGTGAAAGCGATGAGGAGAGGGATAAGATGCTTCTCCAAATAGAACAAGAGTGCTTGGATGTTTACAAGAAGAAAGTTGAACTGGCAGCAATGTCAAGGGCTCAGCTTCTACAAGCTCTGTCAGATGCCAAAATAGAGCTTTCAACTCTCTTATCTGCCCTTGGGGATAAAAGTTCTGTTGGAACTGTGAGTACACATTACATTACACAGTACCTAGTTTTTTTCTTATGTCTGTACATATTTTAATAGAACGGGGCATCTTCTGCTGGGTACTCTGAAATCTGGGGTTCTCATAATTGTCTTTTGCATGATAATACTACTATCAGCCTGAGAAGACTTCTGGAACAATCAAGGAGCAACTTGAAGCTATAGCACCAGCTCTTGAACAGTTGTGGAAACAGAAAGAAGAGAGAGTGAGGGAATTCTCCGATGTGCAATCACAGATACAAAAGATTTGTGGTGAAATTTCTGGGAGCTTGAGCACTAATGAGACTCCTGTGGTTGATGAATCTGATCTTTCCTTGAAGAAGTTGGATGAGTACAATGCTCACCTTCAGGAACTTCAGAAGGAGAAGGTACGGTACAACTTTTCATCCTGATGTCAACATCAGATTGTTCTTATTTCCAACTGTGTAAGTGCATTTTGGGGTAAGTTCTAATCGCCTCTTTTAAATGATAGAGTGAGAGACTGCACAAGGTGCTTGAATTTGTGAGCAGTGTACATGATCTATGTGCTGTCCTTGGTTTGGACTTCTTTAGCACTGTAACTGATGTTCATCCCAGCTTGAACGAATCTACTGGTGTTCAATCCAAAAGCATTAGCAATGATACATTGGCAAGGTTGGCTAGAACAGTCCTGGAGCTGAAGGAAGATAAGAAACAGAGGCTCCACAAGGTAAATAGTTGTCCATCTTGCTTTCTAATTCTTGATCTTTTGATCCATATTCATTTGAGTCCAGCCATTGTCTATGCTTCAAGAACTATAAGTGGCACTATCATGGTGAATATGCTTCAATAATGCTCTCTTTCCTGCTATCCTCGAAATCTATCTAATTCAAGTCTTTTGCTCATCATAGCTTCAAGAGCTAGCGACTCAATTGATTGATCTGTGGAACCTGATGGACACTCCGGATGATGAAAGGAAATTGTTTGACCATGTTACGTGCAACATATCGTCTTCAGTTGATGAAGTTTATGTGCCTGGTTCTCTTGCCCTAGATCTCATTGAGCAGGTATGGTGTTTTCCTCATCTTAAAAGGGGGTAAAGGAAAACATTGAACATGCAATCCTTATTTTTTTGGGACTAACTCATTTTCCTTACGCTTTTGAAGGCTGAAGTTGAAGTTGAAAGGCTTGATCAGCTAAAATCCAGCAGGATGAAAGAAATAGCCTTCAAAAAGCAATCAGAACTTGAAGAGATATTTGCCCATGCTCATGTAGAGATTGATCCAGAGTCCGCTCGGGAAAAAATCATGGCATTGATAGATTCTGGGAATGTAGAGCCTGCTGAGTTACTAGCCGACATGGATAGTCAAATATCAAAGGCCAAAGATGAAGCTCTTAGCAGAAAGGACATTCTGGACAAGGTGGAGAAATGGATGTCTGCATGTGAAGAAGAAAGCTGGCTGGAAGACTACAATCGGGTGGGTACTCACTGCATCTCTCCATATAGAACTAACAATTTTATTCCTGATCATGGCTACAAGGAAGACATCACTATCTGCTTCTCTTTTTCTAAGCCAATACGATCTCGTTCCTGAATTCATTTACTTGTAAGTTCTGTACTAACCGTTGCAATCTCAATGCCACAGGATGATAACAGGTATAATGCAAGTAGAGGTGCACATTTGAATCTCAAGCGAGCAGAAAAAGCCAGAATTCTGGTCAACAAAATTCCAGGTATCTTTGGAGTGGGTAAACCGTTACATAGTTATCTTATGTCAAGAATAGCTGCAGATGGTTCACCTTTTGTAAGATGGCATGTGAATGAAGTGCATTTTTGGCTTTAATCTTGTTTCTCAATCATGTAGCCCTAGTTGATACCTTGGTTGCCAAAACTCGGGCATGGGAAGAGGAACGGGGCTTGCAATTTACATATGATGGCGTTCCTCTACTTGCCATGCTTGATGAATACGCCATGCTTAGGCAGGAAAGGGAAGAGGAGAAGCGGAGGATGAGAGTGAGTTCCCTTCCTACCTATCCTCACTGCCTGATCAAGTGCCTGACACATCTATTCCTCTTCCAGAAGGACAATATGTATATAACCTTTTTGCGTGACAGGATCAGAAGAAGCATCATGAGCTGCAAAACACAGAGCAAGAAGCCATCTTCGGTTCGAGGCCTAGTCCAGCCCGACCGGCTGGTCCCAAGAAGGTGGTTGGACCGAGAGCAAATGGAGGAGGCTCGAATAATGGAACTCCGAACAGGCGTCTGTCTTTGAACACTCCTCAGAATGGCAGCAGATCGGCAAGTAAAGAGAGAAGGGAGGCGAGGCTTTCTGCTCCTACTAATTACGTTGCTATATCGAAGGAGGATGCTGCCTCCCAGGTCTCTGGTACTGAACCGGTTCCCGCTTCACCATAGTGGAGCTGAAGATTGAAACGAAGAACGAGAGCGAAAGATGTAGGCTTTATACCATTTGCACAACATTAATGTTGTTATTAGTACTAGTTGTAGTTCGTTGTTGTAGTGGTATAGATGTGAAGGAGACATGAGAAACCGGAGTGTTTAAGAATGTAGTAGCTGTCTGCCCCCCTGGTCTTGTGTATTTTTGCCGGTTTGGAGTTTTTCTTTTAGTCTGCTGCAAATCATATGTTGAGGATCTCTTCTGCCTGAATCCCTTTGCACTGTTACTTTCCTAGCAACTAATGTTCTCTCCAACTTGCCCATTGAATCAAAATTCAAGGTAAGTTTTAAACAACAAAATTTCCAGGTACCATATTGTAATTAGCTATTTTGGTTTGATCCGAGTAATGCAGGACCAAGCCGGTCAGGCAACCCGACCGAAACTGCCTCCATTTTCTGAATTAATTAATTAATGAAACCAAAACTAAAATCAACTATAGTTCGCCACTCGCCAGTCTCGTTTCAGTTCTGTGCCATCTCTCTGTTTCTTCGAAATTTTGAAGTAGCGAGAAGCGGCAAATTGATCGAAGCAAATCCAGGCGATGGCGGCGAGCGATTACGAACCAGCCAAGCTTCTGCTGCCGTACCTGCAACGAGCCGATGAGTTGCAAAAGCACGAACCCCTCGTCGCTTACTACTGTAAGCGGACCGTTCTGTTTCTACTTTGCTTTAACCCTAAGTTTGTAAGTTCCTTTCCTGTTAATAGACCCTGTTCTAGTGATTAGGCCGATTATATGCTATCGAGAGGGGGCTGAGGATTCCTCAGAAGGATCGCACTAAGACCACCAATGCTCTCCTCGTTTCCCTCATGAATCAGCTCGAGAAGGTTGCTTTGTCTAGCTCCTTATCTTTAAACTAGTCCTTGTCTCCTTGATGATTGATTCCTGTTATTTTTTCTTCGTGGGTTGGATTTAGAACTTTCTATGCAGTGGTTCAGTTGCCTGATCTTCATGTGTGAAGTTGAAGATCCGCTTTCAAGCATCAACTAGGCTAGTTTTGTAGGCTGCATGTATCATCCCCACAATTTTCATGGTTTCCTATACAATTTTTGTGTATCACGTATCTAGACCATGTTATACAATTGTTGAAACTTATGCTCGTATCTTAATTCTGAAGTAGTTTGAAAGGCTTGTGGTAGATTTGGCTTTGATGTTACACCATTGTTGGAGCTTATGCTCAAATCTTGGAATTTTGAAGTAATGTGAAAGTCTTACTGGAGATTTGCTTCCACCATTCTGCATTATTGAGTCTCGAATATCCTTTCCTGCTATTGATGCTATGATGATTTGCTTGATAAAGGGTTAAATACAACTCTCCTCATGTGCGGCATTTGACAGGACAAGAAGGCGGTGAAGTTAGGACCTGAAGATAACTATTTTTTGGAGGGATTCGCCCAAAATTTATTTTCTAAGGCTGATAAACAAGATCGTGCTGGACGAGCTGACTTGTATGGCAAATGTTTTACTTCCTATTGACTTCTTTTTTTGGATGGGACACATGGATGATGCTTTTGCTTGATTTTTAACTGTATTTCTGGTCTGATAGAATGACGGGGATGCGCTTACTTGGCTCTTAACTCCTTAGAATATGAAGGATGACAAGAGGTCTTTACAAGCCTGAGATTCTTAGCTGTGTAACTTATATGTAGTCAGGTAAATAGAGTTATCGTATATGTACATGAAACCGCCTAGCTTAGCATGCAATGCTCATGTCCTTTGATGCGCTGAGTGCTAAGTCTTGACAGCTTTCTTGAAGATGCATGCTTTAGAATTAGAATTTCACAATATCAATTGCTTTAAGAATATAACAAGTCATGTGCAAGTCTTTGCTTTTTGGTTCTATGGTTTTCTTATAGTTTAGGGATTAGTTCTGCCGGCGGATAAGCTTCTCTCTATCTCTGTATCCTTGGTCATTGTTCAGCACAGAGCTAATCCATGTTATGTTTTGTTTTGTTGCTATTTGTATTCACTTTACTATGCTGCTTAAGAATCGAAATGTAATTCTGAAACCCTTCACTGCTCAATGAATGATTGACTGAGATAGATTGAGGTTCAATTGAATTAAGTTCTCTATTGGTATAACCCTACAGTTGAATGGTCCTTGATATATCTGAAATTCTTGTCTTTATATAGGAACACAGCCAAGACATTTTATGCAGCGAGCATTTTCTCTGAGATTATTAATCAGTTTGGGCCTCTGCAAGCTGAAGTGAGTTTTTGCAATTCAAAGTTCCCTACAATCCTTATGTTACTTCTTTTAGTTTATTTTATTATTACAGGAAACCTCTGCTAGATCCTTATGCTTCTTTCTCACTTTGCAGCTTGAACAGAAGCAGAAGTATGCAGTTTGGAAGGCTGCAGACATAAGGAAGGCATTGAAAGAGGGAAGGACGCCCAAGCCAGGCCCTCCTGTAGATGATGAAGATCTAGCGGTTCCATCTAGTGGATTTACCAATGGGCATGTAAGTTACAGTTCAATCCAGCTTCTTCTCCACTCTGATTTCAAAGTTCTGAAAGAAGAGGGGGAAAAAATGGAAAGGTGTAGGTCTGGCCTCCACCTAGTCGTGGAAATGACATAACATCTGATTCTGTTGCGCCCTAATGTTGAATTTTCAGGATGTTGGACAAGTGGAAACTTCGGCCACCACAATGCAATCATCAGAGTCCGATCCATCGTCCCAATTCCACGATCAAGGTGGCAGTTGCCATTCAGCAGACGTCCCGCAATCATCTCTGTTCCATGATCAGGCTAACCACCAACAGCATCCTTCACACTTAATGCCACAATCACCACCTCAGTCATATGGTTCAGTGGGCAGGGAGCATTCCGCACGGGCTCAATCTCATCCTCACCAGTCATATGACTCGTTCGACAGCCAACATTCTGGCGGAAACATCTTGCCTTCGCCTCCACCTCCACCTCCACCTTATACTGGTGCTGCTGGGTATTCACAAGAATTCTATCCATCAGAGAAACCCACCTATTCCCAGCCACACCACCATATGCAGCAGAATTACCCATCATCGCATGATAATTTCCTACTCTTACACAAACTTCCAGTCATATCCAAGTTTCGCAGACACCAGCCTCCCTTCCGTGCCATCCCATCATCCATCTTATTACCAACAACAAGGGTCTGATTCCACCACGTACAGTTCTCAGTCTGCTCCGACACCTGCTGCAGGCTATCATCCTCCACCAGCGCTGCGTAGTTCAAGCGACAGCAGCAGGATGAGCTCGGCGGATGCATCCATCCCAACTTCTGCCGCTGCAGCAGCAACGTACCAGCAGGACAGTAGCTACCAGCCTCCACCTGAGAAAATTGCAGAGGCAAGAAAAGCGGCGAGATATGCAGTCGATGCATCTGATGTGCCTGTGGTCGTGGAACACCTGAAGAAGGCCCTTGAGCTGTTAACTAACCCATCTGCTGATCCGTAAGAGTTAGTGAGGCTTCTGTCTGATCGGATTTGCTTTCTCCTTTCATGTGTTTAACCATTCATGAGATTCGCCCAGGCTTATGAACTCGTTTTGAATCCATACTAGTTCCAATAGCAAACTTAGGCATTTTCTTACCATTCCAGCAGAGGGTAGAACCACTTCCAGACACGAGAACAGCTGCTTCAGCTCGACCCTTCAGCACCTTCTTTGATATCCAGGAACCGGTAAGGCGGTAACTGTGATAGGGAGAGTCCAACCCCTTACCCTGATTGTGATTCTGTCCATCAAAACGCGGCAATCTTTAGAGTAGAACTAACTCGAAATAGGAGGCACTCCAAAATAGCGGACATGAAGCACGCGAAAGGAAAACCAGAATACTGAAAGATACACACTTTTGTTTCATATGAATATGATATACCTCAGCTAGCACTGTTGAGGGATTAAATTGAGGCATAACAACTTGGAAAACTATGCTAACACTCTATTAATGCTTGCCGTAGCTCTAACATATGTATCCATCAGAGAATATCACAAAATCGCTGAGTAAAGCACATATTGGGATTTGAGATAATTTTATCACACAGGAGAGCATATACAAGAAAGTCTGTTTGCATGCAACTTAGAAATACCTTCATAAAGAACGTTGTAACATGATATAGGATAAAATCCTAGGAATAGGATCATAATAAGCCGGCACTTGCACGTAAATTTTGTTGTTATAGACTTGTAGTCATTAACTTGTAATTGTAAAATATATTACGGCTATAACTATAATGATATGATACTACAAGTTATTGTTATCAATTTTTTATGGCGTTATTATTATTTTTTAATTACCATCATGCTACCACTATAATGTAATTTATGTGCTGCTATAGATTGTCTTACCTAGCATAATGAAAAGGAAAAGCACGTGACGTGAAAGGACATTGAGGAATTTTACTATGCTTTACAGTAGGGTGGAGTTTTGGTTAGTTCGGTTATAATTGGTAACCGATCAGTTGGTTATCGGCTAATCGAACTGCCGGCCCCCTTACCGACAACCGACCGAAATAGGGATTTAGACTTTGGTTATCTCGGTTTTCGGTTAACCAAACCACCTCCAAGACCAAAACCATCTCGGCCAGCCTCCGAACACCGACTAAATTTATGTTATCTCGGCTATCAATTAACGGATAACCGGTCGGTTATCGGTTTAACCGACCGGTTAACCAATAACCAAACCTCCACCCCTACTTTAAAATATTGGTGTTTTAGTTTTTGCCTTTAACGTTATGATACAACTTTATATTGTACCTACACCTTTTTGTAAAATTCATTTATAGTACAAACTAAAGTTGTACTTTATGTTATGGTACAACTTGAATTGTAAAATTCTCTTATGGTACAAGTTCAATTTGTACCTTTAATATTATAGTAAAACTTGAAGTTATACTTTAAAGCATAGTAAAATTGGTCTAATTTATTTTGTTCCAATATATATTGAGTTGAATATTATCTTTATTAGTCGTAATAATAAATCTAGTGCGGAAGTAGAACAAGATACACGATTTTAAGGACTTTTTCCATAATAGCACTGCTTAATTTTTTTTTTCAAAAATAGCACCCAATCCCGAAAAATTCCAAAAATGGCACCCTTTTTCGAAAAGTTACGCGAAATAAAAAAAATCGCGACGATCGGAAACCAAAACACAAAGATACTTTCGTTTGAAATTTCCACCTAGGTTAGGATTTTTCGGGAAAAAAAAATTGAACCAAACCGTAGGGCTGGGCAGCAGTTTTGGACCAAACCGCCCCTACCCTGAGCATTTTTCAAAATCGCCTCGTAACCATGCGGGTTTCATCGAAAACCGCGCCCCTACCTAGCGGTTTTTGTGTAAACCACGGGGTGGTGTGGCCGTTTTCGAGAAAGGATGCTATTTTTGGAATTTTTCGGGACTGGGTGCTATTTTTGTTAAATTTTTTTAAACAATGTTATTTCTGAAAAAAACCCCGATTTTATGTGGTATCCCCAACTTGATTCATTGAGACTAATCCACGGGAGAGACGGGTCTCTCCGGCTTTCACTTTTATTGATTAACTTGTGATAACACCTTGCGGCAGCAAACTCCACTAGGACTAGGTTTTCTTTTCCACCAAGGAGAGGCCGAGAGCTGCTGCTGGTACGTGTGCATGGCCATGTGGGCTTGTGGATGGGACTCTTCTCGGCCTACGACATCAGCTCCATCCAATACGCCCCCGCAAACTGAACCGTGAAGATCGCGAACGTTCAGCTTGGACAGAAGAAAGCGAGAATGATCTGCACCCAATCCTTTGGTGAACAAGTCTGCAACCTGAAGGTGAGAGTTGACCTTGAGAGAAAGAATATCTCGAGAAACAACACGTTCCTGAATGAAGTAACAATCCATCTCGACGTGCTTCGTACGCTCATGGAAAACAGGATTAACAGCAATATGGAGGGCAACTTGATTGTCACAGTAGAGGGGAGTGGGACGCCATTGCGGAACACACAACTCAGTTAACAACCAGCGAAGCCAAATGAGTTCACTGACAGTACTCGGCTTCAGCGGACGAACGGGCTACTACCTTCTACTGTTTAGTGCGCCAAGAGACAGGAGAAGACCCCAAATAAATGAAGAACCAGAGATAGACCGACGGGTCGTCTAACACCCGCCCCAATCGGCATCACAATAAGCAACCAATTCAAGTGAGTTGTCAGTAGGGAAGTAGAGGCCCTGTTCAGGAGACATCTTCAGGTAACGAAGAATACGAGTGGCTGCATCCATGTGAGCCTAGGTAGGAGCATGGACAAAGCGATTGAGAATGTTGACACCATAGGTTATATCCGGTCGGGAGACAGTTAGGTAGAGTAGACGCCCTACCAGACGACGATAGGAAGAACCATCAATCAGAGGACTGGAGTCAGGCTTAGCGAGTTGATGATTCTGCTCCACAGGAAAAGTGTTGGGACGAGCACCGAGGACGCCTGCTTCATTCAAAATATCAAACACATACTTACGGTGACTAAGGACAATACCGCGAGGAGATCTAGCAACTTCGAGACCCAGAAAATACTTCAACGAACCCAGATCCTTGATGTTGAACCGCTGATCGAGGAATTTCTTGACATGAATAATGAAGTTAAGATCTGTACCCGCAACAATGACAACGTCAACATAGATAAGAGCCACGACAAACAGTGCACCTTGACGATAGATGAAGAGAGAATGGTCGGAAGGGGAGGCGCGAAAACTAATCTCACACAGGGATGCCGTAAACTTCTGGTACCAGTTCCGAGAAGCTTGCTTCAGGCCATAGATGGACTTGTGGAGGCGACATACTCGACGATCACCTGGAGCAGAAATACCAGGAGGGATGCTCATATAGACTTCTTCCTGGAGACCACCGTGAAGAAATGCGTTATTGACGTCGAGTTGATGGAGATGCCACCCACGGTTGGCTGCAACAACAATGAGACAGCGAACAGTGACAAGTTTGGCGACAGGAGCAAATGTGTCATGATAGTCAACTCCCTCAATCTGCATGAAACCTTAAGCGACCACCCGAGCTTTTTAACGCTCAATGCTCCCATCCGGACGATACTTGATCTTAAAGACCCATTTTGCATCAATAATATGAGCACCGGGAGGGGGTTCAACCAAACTCCAAGTGTGATTATCAATAAGAGTTTCGATCTCTTTGGTCCTCGCGACGCACCAATGGGCGTGACGAACTGCTTGAGCAAAGGTACGAGGCTCTACCTCAACAGTAATCTTGGCCAGAAACGCCCGATGGTTAGGACTGAGATGAGCATATGAGACGTAGTGAGAAATGGAATACTGTACTTGGGCTGCAAACTCCAGGTCAGTCTCATAAATATCAAGATCCTTGGGAGGTCGACGCTCGCGGAGACTGCGGTGAAGGACAGGGGGTTCCGCTGCTGCGAGAGAAGATTCCGGAGTGGGGAGGACGGACTTGCGGAGGACAGAGAGTCGGACTGGGACGAGTCCAGCAAAGAGAGACCAGGGGACGACGGAGAGTCAGACTGGGAGGAGTCTGGCGTAGTGTGATACAATGTAGGCTCCTGTGGCTTAGGAGGAGAGGTTGACTGCGGGGAAGACAGAGAAGGATAACCCGCAGCAGGCGAAGAGGCCAACTCATCAGACTGAAGGGGATGCGAGATAGGACTAGTATCAGCAACTTCACGTGCGTCTTCAAGGAGTGACAGAGGAACCCAATGAAATTCCTGGGGATCTTGAGATCGGAATGGGAAGTGTGTTTCATGGAAGAGGACGTCGCGAGACACCTGAAATTTGCGACTTAATAAGTCATACACCTTATACCCCTTTTCTTGCGAAGATGCATACCCCAAGAAGACGCCTACACGCCCCCGGTCGGCGAACTTGTGCAAACTCCCATGATTGTCCTTGCAATAAACGAGGCACCCGAATACTCAAAGATGGGAATAGAGAGCGGGTTTATTGAACAACACTTCATAGGGAGTTTTCTCGGTTGCATCAATACGTAATCGGTTGAACAAATAGACGGCAGTCAGAATGCATTCTCTCCAAAAATGGACAGGGAGGCCTACGTGAAAACGAAGTGCCCAAGCTGTATCCAAAAAATGCTGATGTTTATTCTCTACTACTCCGTTCTGTTGTCGAGTATCAGTACAACTGGTTTGTAGAACGATGCCCGAGTGTTCATAGTAGTCACGCGGAGAAGAGGTACGAAATTTCAAACCATTGTCTCCTGAATACGTTGGACTTTCTTACCAAACTATGTAGCAGCCATTTCACAAAACATGGTGAGATAGCGAGAAACATCAGACTTGAACTTCAAAAGATACACCCAAACACCATGACTGAAATCATCGATAATTGTCAGAAAATAATGTGCTCCACTAAGCGAAGCAGTGTGATAACCACCCCAAATGTCGACATGGATTAGTTCAAAACAACTCGATGTGCGAATAGTACTAAGAGGAAAAGGTAACCGACTCAGTTTCGCACGAAGACAAGAATGATACGGTCCTTGTTTCTTCGAATCCGGAAAAGTTACAAAAGACAACAACTGAGAGAGCTTGGCAGGAGACGGATGTCCCAGACAAGAATGCGAAACCTCTTAAGGGACTGAACTATTGCCACTACCAGTGAAAAATAAATGTTCCTTGCTACTGAATAACCTCAGATAATAAAGAGCATCACGGGGAATCCCCTTCCCAATCATTGTCTTGGAGCGTAAATCCTGTAGAATGCACAAGTCACGTAGAAAGATCAAGGCAACATCATTATCTTTTGTCAGCTTACTAACCGACAAAATATTACACTGAAAACCTGGAACATGAAGTACGCGATCAAGTTGCAACCTAGAACTGAACGTAACAGACCCAAATTGCTTAACGGGTAAACTTTGACCATTCGGAATTCTCACAGGATGACTATCTTCATTAACCAAAGTAGCACTAAATAGATTTGCATCATGGGTGATATGCTCGTTACAACCCAAGTCTATCAACCATTCAGGATTAGTGAGGAAAGTACCTGCCATGTGGGTGGATGGATCATCTGCGGTAGACGACTGTGAGAAGAACTTCTTAAGGTTCTCGAGCTGGGATAATGAGAAGTCGGGGACAGGACTGGCTTCGACCTCAGCCTGCACAGCTCGTGGAGGACGATCGACAGAGTGATCAGCAGGGCCACACCGCCTCTTCTCACCTCTGTCTGCCTTCTTGTTGTTAGAACGACCGGGCCAACCAACGAGATCATAACATGTATCCTTGAAATGTCCCACCTTCCCGCAATGCACACACTTGGGCCTTCCGTATGGAGTACGAGGATGCTCATCATCAGATATGGCCGCAAAAGCTACACCTTCAAAGGTGGGGTGACGACGTTGTGCAAGGAGACGTTGTTGTTTGTCAGTGGAGACTATATTGAAGGCTTCAACAAGAGTCGGTGTGGGCTTTATAGGTAGAATTTGACTACGAACTGTTCCGAAATTTTCGTCAAGACCCATCAAGAAATCGAATTAACGGAAGCATTCTTCCTTGGCTCGAATGCGAGTTTCAAGACCGCATTTGCATTGACCACAAGTACATATTTCAGCTGGCGAAAAAGATTGGGCTTTTTCCCATAATGTACGAAGTTGAGTATAGAAAGATGATACCGAGAGTTTTTCTTGCCATAGGGCACTAATGAGGCGCCGAAGCTCATAGCCTTGGGTCAAGCTCCCATGACTGAAACGTTCCTTGAGGTTGACCCAGACCTCTCTCGCCGTCTTTGCGTACCGAACGCTGCTCCTTACTTCTTTGTTCATAGCGATTCTCAACCACCCTTTGACCACAACATCACAACGAATCCAGGCTGCTTTCTCAGGCTCTTGTGCTGGCTTCGGTTTGGTGTCGTCCACGAAACCGATCTTGTTCTTGACTATGAATGCGTCGGTGACATCGATGACCCATTCTCCATATTTGGATGACGTGAGAAGATCTACAACTTGGAGCTGACCATTAATATCCGATGGATGAAGATAGTAAGGTGAATGAGGCTCTGGAAACCCTTAGTGGAGGACGATGGTGACTCGGAGAAGGGCCCTTAATTCTTGACGTCGCCTTCCTTCTTTCCCTTGTCGTCGCTCATGATGACGATTTAGGGATGTAGTGCTCTTATACCATAATAAATCTAGTGCGGAAGTAGAACGAGACACACGATTTTACGTGGTATCCCCAAATTGATTCGTTGGGACTAATCCACGGGAGAGATGAGTCTCTCCGACTTTCACTTGTATTGATTAACTTGTCACAACACCTTGCGGTTAACATAACATCAATATATAACCCTTTGCAACTATCGACTAGGGCTAAACAAACTCCATTAAGACTAGGTTTTCTTTTCCACCAAGAAGAGGTCGAGAGCTACTGCTGGTACGTGTGCACGGCCATGTGGGCCTGCGGAGGGGACTCTTCTCGGCCCACGACATCAGCTGGATCGGTCCAATACATAATTCGTAAATATTCGGCGGCGTGAGTTTCTTAGTGGCTGCGGACGGTGGCGCACGTACAGACGCCAGGTAGTGCTAGAGTACTTGAGCTTATCCTTGGCTGAAGAAAAGGACAAGATATATACTCTTCACAATTGAATTTCGAAGCTAGTGTGGATAATACCAATGGCCGGCGCAGTAATTAACGTAGAGGAGAGGAGAGGAGAGGAGAGCACACTTGAACTTGATGATCATAATTCATAAATCCTCCCTCCCGAATACACCGAAAACCCCCACGCCACATTCTTGGAACTTCCGTTGGTAAATTTTTGACTCCATTCTAACTCCCATCTACCGAACATATTAATTAATATATAAACACCACGGTGTCATCATCCGGCAGCGGATATATATATTATAGAAATTAAGAATAAACAACACTCACTCATATTCTACTTCAATCCCATGGGTTTTGGAGCCTGTTTCCGGCGGCCGCCGCAGCAAGATCACTACTACCTCCGCCACCACGACTCTCCTCCTCCCGCTCCGCCGCCGACCTTGCCACCCCATCCGGTACCCTCTTACGGTTTCGCCGACTGGATCAAGCTCAAGTGCTTAGGAGGAGGAAACAACAACAACAGAAAGCGGAAGGCGGCGGCCGACGGCGTCAGGAAGCTTAAGAAGAAGCAGGTTCACGCCGCCGCCGCCAGAGACGACAACATCACTCTGGAGCAGGTTCTGAGGCGGTCTCCGTCGAGGCAGCCACCACCCCACGCCGCCGCCGCCAGCAACAAAGTGTATCCTAATAGCATTGACTGTTTCTCTTTGGAGATGCTGCTGGATATTGAAGAAGAAGATCAGAGTGCTGACGTGGATGGTCGTGAGCATGACTATTATAATCACGTTGCGAACACCGACGACGTTAGGGAAGGTGGCGCCGGCAGTAGTAGTGGGAGTGGTGGTTCCGATGAGGGTGACGGGAGAAACAGCAGCAGCAGCAGGAAGAGAAGGGTGAGCTTTAGGCTGCCGGAGGAGGGTGATATTTTCACCTACGATCCCTCCGACGATGACGAGGAAGACGACAACAAGGATAATATCATGAATATCGGAGTATACTACTATTGACTTTTGTTTTCTTTTGTGGTTTTCTCCGCTACTCTATTTCCCATCTTCAAGCGTCCGATGTAACTTTGTCTTTTCTTCTCTATTTTTTTTTTTTTTTGTGTGGTTATTCCTTCAAACATTGTTACGGAGAATTTTCAGCCGGAATTGTGATAGGGGGCGGCTACGGCTAAGAATAAGATCGAGAATCACAGTTTAATTAATAATGTCATAATGTGGGTAACACTAACAAGATGTTCAATAAACTTCGAAATGGTATTAGAATGAGACTTGAGACAAGGAAAACAAAAACAACAATACCATCCCCTAGTGGCGTTCCTTTTACTACCACTGATCAATTACTTGTTTTTTTTGTATTAGAGAATAAATTAATTTTACAACCCACATATAAGTATATAACATATTATTTGGGTATTGGCCAATATATACTATTAGTTTTTTAAGTTTAGAATACTATTGCCATTTAAACTTCTTTACAAATTATAATGATTTAAAAGTAAACAATTTCACAACCAAACATACTTTATATTTGAAACAAGTCTTCTATAATAGTAACGACTGTTTTACTATAACATAATTACAAAGTTTTATTGAAAAGTAATTAATTGGAAAGCATGATTTGAAAAGAAAGAATCGGAAAAGTGTGAAAGAGGATGTAGTCTCTTAAGCTCGATCTCTAATAGCAGCTGGTTGAGTTGTAACTCACAAATGTGGCCGTACTCCTAGCGGTAGTGTCAGTGTCACTCAAGTGGCGACTGCGGGTTATAAGGTTTTTTCGTCATAAAAGAAGGAAAGTATTGAGTTTAGTAAGATAAAATAGAGAATGATTAGTATTGATTTTATGAAAAAGGTCAATGTTAAGTTTGAAAAATAGTTGTCAAAAATAAGTTATTTGGAGGTTTTCTTGGAACCAAATAATTCGTTAAGTATTTTGTAGTAAAAAAGGTCATCTAATAACAAATGTCTCATGCAAACAATTCAAATTTTCTATGGGTACATCTATCATATGCACCCTATTTTCCAATGACTCATGCAAACGACTTTGGCGTTACGAATTGCCCTATTTTCATTTTAGAAATACCATTCCTTTAATTCTCACACTTTTCTTACTTATTTTACAGTATACGATGTTTACATATAATTTAGATGAGCACAAGTTGCCTGCAAAACCACGATAGATAGGTATACTAAAGCTCCCTCATACCTATCGAAAGCAATATCTCTTTGGTCAACAAAATTTGGCCTCGTGGTTCAGTATCTTCCCATGTATACGACCTAATTTGGTGCTTTCTCTTAATTAAGGTTGTCAACCCGCGGGTCGATCCAATTTGACCCTGACCCGGTAAGAAAAACGGGCCGCACGCACCCGCCGGGCCGACCGCTATTAGGTACCGGGTTGGAGGTCAAATTGTGTCATTTTTTTCTTTAGTTTGCGAAATGCGCCTATTTTCCAATTTTTCTTTTCGCCTAACTCAATCTTTGAAATACTAAGTTGAACATTTGAATATTTATGCTATATAAGTGTGTGTGAATTTTCACTATATGTTGGATCTAAGTACGATATGTTATTTTGGTGTAATATTATATGTTATAACTCATATGTTAGATAAGATTTGATATAATTTATGAGGATAAGTAGAATATAATGACTATTTCTATATTTCCGGGCCAAACCGGGCTAAAACGGTTGACCCATTAACCCTTGACCCACTAGCTCGACCGGGTCCGGGTCAACCCGCGAGTTGACAACCTTGCTCTTAATAGTTGCTTCATCAACGAAATTCTAGCTACTCACACTTCACATTAGTTTCAACAACAGAATCTTTGAATCCACTTCATTTGAATCTTGTCAATAAACCTATAGCGCTAACCCACATTGTTGTCGACTATAATTTATGAATTAGTATCCATAACAAAAGCTGTTTACGAATTAGCTAGTGTCAATTGACCAAGATTATTCCAACCCGTCTGCCGTAATCTCAAGATTCCTAAATCACATAAGTGGACACTGTAAAACCAAAGTGTAGGGAGACAACTGCCTCATTACATTAGATACACAAAACCAAAGCATTAATAATCCAATCACACCACACAAGAAAACGGGTTAACCTTGGTAATTAAAAGCCTGGATTAGTAGTAATTACCAATTACCTGTACTGCTATAGAGTTTGACGTACGTGGGAACACAAGAAGGTCATCATCACCAAACCAATCACCCTCTTTTTCATTAACACATTGGACTTTCCATCACATCATAATTAATATCAGCGGAAATTAAATTACAGCCCTTAATTCTCTCTTTTTTCCCCCCGGGTAATTAACGAATTAACTAGCCAACTATTCAAGCAAGAGAAAGAGACGCGACGACATGGAAAAACTGTAGATTCTCGAGCAGCTCCTTGGCATGGCACGTGGCACGCTCCTCTACCCTCAGGAACAGCTGCTCGCTGAGCTCCTCGCCGATGTGGGCGTCGACGAGCACTCCGGCCACGCTCCGGCAGCTGATGGCCAGGGCCCGGCCCACCTCCGCTGCGTCGTCGGGCCGGCTCACCACCAGTGGGCTTCCTCCTTTGAACACCTCCAGCTTGTTTATGTGGAACGAGCCGTTTGCCTCTACTACGTCCTTGAATTCCTGTGAAGTCGGTGCGTAGATCGGGATGTTGAAGTTGTCGCGCTTCTCGCTGCTAACCAACCCCTGAAAAAAAAAATGTTCATCGACGATGATAATCAGGTAGAGAAACTTTCATTGGGCTAAGAAAGCCCCAATGGTATATTGGGGCGTAGTACCACTAACTAGCGGGCTCGCTAGTACCCAGCTCAAGGCCCATTCGGTTCAGAAAATTGGTGGTTCGGTTATATGCTATTTTTTTTAATATTCTAATTTGATAATATTGTCAGTTGTTGATAATATTCTGATCCAACGATATAAATACGTGCTTAATTGCTTATAGTCTTATACCAAGTGACACAACACACAAGCACTGTAGCCAAATTGGCTGGATGTGACAAGTCACAAGATGCAAAAGCTGCAATTTCCTTTTTATTTTTTTTATTTTATAATCTCCATCATTATGTTGGGGATACAGACATACAGTAGTACTGGTAGGGGACCTGATATTGTTGATTCAATCTAGCGTTTTGTCAACTACGTAGCAAACGGACCCAGCAGCATGCTGACACTTCAATTATAATGTTGACGAAGCCAATTGGGTTGGAGACGATATGACCATCTTAAATCGACTCAACATTATTATTATTACTACGTACCAAACTTTGTCTGGCCGGCATGTTGTATGATTCGATCTTTCCGTTTTTGGCATGACTCTTTTTGATGATTGAAAGGCAATTGCTATGATTAAAAGGTTACAAGTTGTGGTAGAGGTATAGTAGTAGAGGTACCTGTTGGACAAGGTGATTCCAGGCGTCCTGAAAGTGAGTTCCGAAGAGGAGGCCCGCCCCGCCCTGGTCGGTCGGGTCGGGCGAGGTCCGGCCCAAGCAGACGACGAACATGGTCCCTCCGCTCTTCATCTCGACGGATCTGGCTCGCAGGAAAGCGCCCAAGTCGGCCTGGAACTGCTGCTTGTACGCCGCCACGGTCGCCTCCTTGGCTCCGTGGATGAACACTCTCCCTCTGTTGTATGCACTTTGCCGCTTGTCCATCACGCGCTCCGGCACCTAATATTTATTTATTTATTAATAAAATGCGTGTATGGCGTCATAAATATTATTATCCATTCTATAAACGTATTATGCTTCACGTATACTCCAACATTACCACCGCTGTTTCCATTTTTTCTGATATCATTAATTACCTGAGAGAGCCAGTGAAGGGAGAAAGCGGAGTGGAAGAAATCGATGGACCTCGCCGGAAACAACCGCTTGTAGAACGACCCCGCCACCCCCGCGCTATAGTACTCAACCCCCGCCACGCCGCCGCCGTCGCTGGGGAGGAGCTGGAAGAGGGTGTTGAAGTCGTTGCTGGGGAGGTCGGAGAAGAAAGCGGCGAACTCCGGCAGGTCCAGCCCCGCCGCCCGGTATCGCTTGATCATGTGCTTGATGATCGCCTCCACCGTGTCAACCGTGTTGTTCCCCGACGAGCACCCCAGATCCACCACCTGGAATACGGCGGACTGATGATGGTGAGGTGGCGGTGGTGGTTGGAGGTGGACCAGGTCTAGGGTTTCTTCCAGGATGTGAACCACCGACCTTGCATGTAACGCCTGCCCGTGTACATTGGAGTCAAAAAAATCACGCTTTAAAACTAAAAAACTTACAGAATTTACTTACTTAAAAAAACTTCTACGATAAAATTGCGGTTTTCACTTACAGCAGGTCAATTTTACTTTTTTGAAGTTTAAAAGTTTACGTTTTTACGTCGTGGTGGTACCTGTGCTTTGGAGTTGTTGGCGTAGCTGGATTCGCCCTGGCCGCCTTTCATGCAGAGAAGCTTCTCGAGCTTCATCATGTTCACGTTGACGACGACTCGGTTTTCTCCCTGCTGCAGAGCCATGGCTATCTGGTTAGGTGAGCTCAGTGAAGGGAGGTGAAGAGTTGTTAAATGAATGAATGAGGTGTGTTTGGCTGAATGATGAATTGTTGTGTTTCTATATATAGATCCATTTAGAGAGAGAGAGAGAGAGAGATGGTGGTGTGGTGTGGCCGTGATTTGTTGAATTAACTGATTTGATCCCAATGGATGTTAAAAGAACGGGTACTAACTGATTAACTGCTGCCACTAATGTGATTCCGTAGTGATCTTAAAAAAGTCACTTAAGTTGAAAAGACTACTTGTGTGTCTTAGAAAAGGTCAAAAGAAAAAAGGGTGAAAAGATTTTCTGTATCCAAGTTATTTTTTTCGTAATTTTAAAAGCAAACACTATATTTAATTTATTCATTACGGTTTTTTTTTCTTTCTCACATCATCATTCTTATCCTAATTGGTGTCCATCGGTAGAACTATAAGATTAAATCGTCTGCTTTCATAAATTTGTCGGTATTATCATGAGATAGAAATAGTAATTAATGGACAGATGCATGTGATATTTTTATATTAAAGGGTGCAAACCTAACCAAATCGAGTAAAGTATTCAAAATTTAAGTCATACAAAAATCAGCATCTACCGTCTGAATTTAACACTTAAAATAATTAACATAGCATGATTTTAAGTGAAACTGAATGGCTTTTATATGATAAATTAAAACAATGGATCTGAATGGTTATCTCGCTGTAAATAAGCAAAATCGTAATCTCTCATTCTCTAGCCAACAATAAGGATGGAATGAAAGGAATAGGCTAGCATGTCAACGACTATTTAACGTTACACTTTTATCTTGTTGTTTACACCATAAATTTTGTCTTGTACCACATTGGTGAGTTACAAGATAATCAAGGAGTTTATAAGGCCACACCCATTATAACAATTAATATTGTTTAAATTGGGTCTTATGGATATTGATTTTAAACCCAAATCACTAGCTCATTAATGAGCATGGACATGATTCAATAAGGGACATGGGCCTCTCGTAAGAGGCCATGCCATGCCACGAGATGACATGAAAATTTCTAAGTATGAGAAGTCCATGGCCATGAATGAAGAGGCCATGACGCCTCATAACCAAGACCAAACAACACAAAAACATGTCAATCTAGAATTTAGAAGCACATGCCATCTCAAGGAAGACCTCGATACGGTCAAAAATATTCTAAGTCTCGAGAAGGGCATGCCACTTCACGAAGAGGCCATGCCGCCCCATGAGGCCATGACCAAGGCCTAATGACTGAAAAATAAACTAAGTCTGAAAGAGGTACATGCCACTTCAATGAGAAGCACGTGCCGCCTCACGAGAAGGGGCATGGACGCGTGATAAGAGGCCCTAGGTATGATTGAAAAATGCTAAGTATGAGAAAGCCATGCCACCTCAAGAGAAGAGCCATGTGCATGATTGGGAGATCCATGGCCGTGTCACGAGAGGGGCCATGGACGCAAGGCCACGAATCACACTTTAAAGAAGACAAAGATATTCTAAGTGTGGAGAAGGACTTGTAGCTTTAACGAGTAGGGTCATGTCCCTCTAGAGATCGAGAAGGTCATGCCGTGTCACAAGAGGGGCCATGTGCACGATTGAGAGGTCCATGCCGCCTCATGAGAGGGGCCATGAACACAAATAAAAAGGGTGTGGTGATGGAGCATTATATCAATAGTGAATATGTCTCAAGAGGTCCATGACCGTTAGACAAGAAGGCCATGGACATGAGTAAGAAGTTCATGACCGTAAGACAAGAAGGCCATGGACATGAGTAAGAAGTCCATGGCCGCGAGGCAAGAAGACCACGACCCCCTTGTGAGACACCACATGCTCGTCAAAAGACTAGCATGGCACGAGATTCAGAACAAGACCAGGCGAGGCAAGCTACACTCCAAAACCCACGACGGTTCCAAGAGAGGCACCTAGGCGGTTGAAAGAGTAACCACCACTTCGAAGAAGTAGGGAGCGGTTCTTTTTGGGAGTTATCCAAGAGGCGGTTTTCTACCGAAGAAGGGGGAGAGGTTCTTTGTAGCAGTTATCCAACAAGCGGTTTTCTATGGCGGTTACCTCCTCGGGGCTATAAATAAGAGGAGGGGTCGACAGAGATAGGGGTTCCAAAAACCACACAACTGACACACATGTCAAGTTTATCCTTTACCTTTTCTCTATCATGTAGCCATAGATGTAGTTCGTAGTTTGGAGCTCTCGCCAAACCTCCATAGGAGTAGAAGTAATTTAATATAGATCTCGTTCCCAAAAACCATCAATCAAACACCCTCGTTCGAACTTTTTTTGAAGAGGCTTGAGCCGTGTCTTAGAAATCGTTGTCCATAGAAGTCAAAGGTGCAATCCATCTCAATTCAACGCAAGTTTTCTCGCCGGAAAACAAATTTGGCACACCCGGTGGGACCTTGTGTTTGATCTGATGGCTCCAAGACAGAGGCAACAATAAGGTGATCTCTCACCTGGGTTTGTGATGAAGCAAGTGGCTAAGTTTGAATTTGGCCAAGACACAAAAGTTGTTGCCGGAAACAATGGCATGGCGGAGACTTTGCCACCGGCGACACAAGGCATTCATTTAACCACCAACGTCATGCTAGTTCACGAGATAGTGGAGGAGAACCCCAAGATGGTGGTGGAGAACTGCCAAGTCATGGAGGAGGGTTTGGATGGACTTGTTAAAAGTTCACAACAGACAAGCCTCAGGCTTGTTTCTCTTAATGAATCATTCGAACGTCTTAGTTCCACTTTGGATAGACGTTTTGATCAATTGTTTGAAGCGATCCTAAAAAATCAAAATAGCTTGGATGAGTGTAAGAAATTTTTTATGGAACCAGTGGTACAAGAAATGTCTTTACCAAAAAATGGTATAGATTCACCACAAATCAATCCTACTAGGGATACAAATCTTTCTCCCTCCGGTGGTGGGAATACCCAGCCACGACCAGGGAACTTGTTATCTCTAGTGGTAACTCAACCACCCCCTCAACGTGAGAGTTGTGGTGAGAGGTCCACCTTCACTTTGAACACCAGTGATGGGGTCTTTCATGTACAAGGTGATGTTCAACCACTCATTCTCGAGACAAGATCAGATGAGACACCTGTTAATGAACGAGATGGTGAAGATCCATTCAATGTGGACCAAGTACCACCACCTGCTTGTCAGCCCCCAATGCCACCCCTATTGAGTATGCAAGGAGGCAATTCTGATGGACTCAAAACGCATAGAGCTCGCAAGGGGGGCATGAAAATCTAACTTCCCACAAGCTGAACCCGAGATGTCCGTCTGGGGGGCATGCGGTGTCTAAGAGGTTACATCAATCACAAGCAACACATGCTTGTGCTAAGCATACTAATTTGGCTAAGTATGGAAAGGGGGCATGTCACCCACCATGAATAATGGAGTAGGGGGCATGTCCAAGAATCTAAAAGAATTCCAACCTACACATGCTTGTGATAAGTACGCAAGTTTGGCTAAGTGTGGACAGGGGGGCAAGTCCATGTCCATGAGTAGTAAGTACATGCCATCAATCATGAATGATGGACATAGGGGCATGCATAAGAAGGTATCATACGCACAAACCAGACATGGCCTCACAAAGAACCAAGGATGGTCATGTGCTAAGGGCAGGAGTCAACAAGGCAGAGGAAAACCAAGGCAGAGGAAAACACATGGTCGTCTTGACATGTCAAGTGATGGGGCTAAAGCATATGAGCATGAGACCCCATGCAAGGCCACCAAGGCTAGACATGCTGATCATATACCACCCACTGGTAAGCTAGAAGATTCAAAATTAATGTATGGAGAATCATGTTTCTTGGAGAAAAAGAGTCATGTGGTCCATGGATGGCTTGCCTGCTTTAATCCATGGACTTGGTAGTGGGTGTACACCTTTGGCGCATTAGTTGTTGCCAGAAGCGATGGAGAGCAGTGACGTTTGTCATTCCTTGTTATCTTAAATAAATAAATATCATATATATTAATAAATAAATAAAAGCCAATCATGGCTATATAAAAAGAAATAGAGAGAAAATAACAAAGTGGAAATTTTGAGTCGAAGTTATTAGACTTTGATGTGAAGATCTTACCATCAAGTCATAGTGATGGCTTGGCATACCGAGTCATAGATTGCGTCTTGCCATGCTATTTCGTCTTGTCCCAAGTGGCCACCAGTTTGGATGTTGGCCACGACCTTAAGGGCATCGTGGGTTGGAGATGAGTGATGGCCAGCTTGAACATGTAAAATAAGAAAAGTGTAGGGGCCCCACTGAATTGTTGACGAGAAGCCAACAAGGTAAGGGATTCTCGTGGCTACACATGAATGAAGAAAACATAGGTGGCATAGCTAGCCACTTGAAAGACGTAGATACCATGGTGTTGTTTTAGAGGAAAACATTTCAAGTTTAATTGAACCTGTGGTCATGGGTGAGTAGAGACAAGCCTTGTTACTCGAGGACCAATTAGAGAAGGGATATCAGTGGTCAAGTTGGTCTCAACTACTTAGTCCATAATCCTTATGCACTAAGTAGTTGGGGGGGGGGGGGGCATTTGTTTACACCATAAATTTTGTCTTGTACCACATTGGTGAGTTACAAGATAATCAAGGAGTTTATAAGGCCACACCCATTATAACAATTAATATTGTTTAAATTGGGCCTTATGGATATTGATTTTAAACCCAAGTCACTAGCTCATTAATGAACATGGACATGATTAAATAAGGGACATGGGCCTCTCGTAAGAGGCCATGCCATGCCACGAGATGGCATGCAAATTTCTAAGTATGAGAAGTCCATGGCCATGAATGAAGAGGCCATGCCGCCTCATAACCAAGACCAAACCACACAAAAACATGTCCATCTAGAATTTAGAAGCACATGCCATCTCAAGGAAGACCTCGATACGGTCAAAAATATTCTAAGTCTCGAGAAGGGCATGCCACTTCACGAAGAGGCCATGCTGCCCCATGAGGCCATGACCAAGGCCTAATGACTGAAAAATAAACTAAGTCTGAAAGAGGTACATGCCACTTCAATGAGAAGCACGTGCCGCCTCACGAGAAGGGGCATGGACGCGAGACAAGAGGCCCTAGGTATGATTGAAAAATG